AGTTCCTGGGGGAATTAGCCTGAGCTGTCTGGCCAGACTGTGGTTGAGAAATAAAGAAAGCAGAGTTGTTGGGGCTGGCTTGGCCTGGCCTGTCTGGCTCCCTTCCTGTCTTTTGGCATGATGGGCTTCCTTATGCAGGTGCATTCTCTCTTCACTCTCATGTCCCACAAACCATCTGTCTCATGAGACAGCTCAACAAAGTGGGCCCCCTCTAGGCAGGAAATAGAAAGTACGCCTCTCCTAATCTTCCACAGAGGACAGAGTTAGGTTTGTGTTTTTTTTGTTCTTTGAGACAGGGTCTCCCTGTGTTGCCCAGGTTCTCCTTGAGCACCTCATTCTCCTGCCTGACCCTTTTGAGTGCTAGGATTATAAGCATTTAACCACCCTCACACTCTTTTAGAACAGTGTTCGAATGAGGTCAAATGCTAAAAGTTGAGTTTGTAATTTTTTACCCCAGAGGCATTTCCTAGGGGTAGATGAGGAAGAGTCCAAGTTAACAATTCTAGTATTCCATCAGCTCTAAGCTTAGGTCATAAGATGCCCCTTATTTTTTCTATCACTGAAAGAGAAACACACTACTGATTAAGCTGTCATGACACTGACTATAAAGTTTATCCAAATTTTAGAGATGTTAAGACATGAAAGAAACATACATCTTAAAACCAAAAATTTACCACTTCTGCCCCCCCCCCCAAGGACATATGGCATATCAGGGCACAAAGTTGAATACAACCAAAGCCCCAGCAAGTGTCTGCTCTAAGAACATGTTTGGTAAGCTTGGTGTGTGAAAATCAGGGGCCCTTGTACTAGACTGACTTTATAAAGTCCCTCATACCTCATCCCATTGGATTTGGCCCAGCTACCTGTGGAGCAGGCAGGGCTTGAGGAATTTAGTACCATTTTCCAAATAGAGACCAGAGAGCTCTCATTTGGCCAAGAGCAGCGGGGACTAAGAAAGGGAGAATCGGGAGCAGAGTTCCCTGACTTCTACAGAACAGCCACTATCGTAAGTGGCTTTTAAAAACTTCCCTGATGAAACAGATATGACTGGAGGTGTCTTAGGTGAAACAAAGGAAGGCCAGAGAGCCACCCACTCTGCTCACATCGATCTGCCATTCCCAGAAAGGGCCTCTAAGGCATCTCCCATAACTCCTGAGGTGCTAAGGAACAACTTCTAACCCTCTGGAGAATGTCTTATTCTTGTCGTATCAAGGTGTCATTTCATACCTTTCAGTGTATCATAACTGTTTCATTTTGGACAAAAGCACTGATGTAGATGGCCAGGTCAAAGATATGACTTAGAGTCTGTAAGCTTAAAGTAAGAGCAAAAAAAGGAAGAAAAAGTTTGGGATTATGATCTTGGGTGAGGCCTGGGCATTAAGATTCTAAATGTTTTTTCAGATGACAACGGCAACAGTTATAAGCTTGTTTTACCAGAGGTGTGGTGACCTGGCCCTGAATGTTTATTTTACATGGGGCACGATGCTAGAGAGCTCAAGTCTTTCTAAAAATGCAATAGCTGAGAGCTCAGAGCTCCTGAGCATGAGAGAAAGAGATGCTGAAGACAAGGCAAAGGTAGAGACCTCTGTAGATTTCTGGGAAGAATTGGCGGGGTGGAGAGCCAGCAGGGGAACTGGTGGCTGGCACACAAGTGGAGCTGGAGTTGGATGGTTATATGGTAGAAGAGATCTGTGGCTCATACTATTGCCCCTGTTACTTGGCAGTGATATATTAAGACAGGATACACCCTCATCACTGAGCCTACGTTGTGAAATGCCATGGTTCCTGACTGGCTGTCACACAGGAGGGGCAGGACTGAAATTAGGGAGTCAGCCACAGAGAACATCCATTGCCAAAATGAATGATCTCTGCTATTTTTCTATCTAGGAGGCTCAAAAGTCCCTGTGTCCAGTGGCTCAGATACCAACAGTGAGGAATTTCAAGGCTAGGCAGAATGGTGATTGGGGGCAGAGTAAGGGTAGGCAGTCACAGGAGTCTTTAAATTTGGATAAGGTCTTGCCTGTTGCCAAAGTTAGGGAACCACATATATCCGATGGATAAACCATTCTGTTTGTCAGATTGATATCTGTGGGTCTCTCTGCTCCTTTGCTGGCCCTAGCAAACCAAGCCAAATAAAAAACTCACTAGTAACCTGGTTATTATCATTCTAAGCTGCTTGCTACCCTACACAGAGGTGAAGGACAAAGTCCATGAACTGGTGAGGCTTCTACCCTGTCAACTCTGGCCACGTGTGGTGGTGTATGCCTATAAGCACAGCACTCAAGAGGTTGAGACAGGAGGATCATGAATGCAAGGCCAGCCTGGGCTACATAGCAACGTTCAGGCCAATGTGAGCAACAAAACCAGACCCTGTCTTTAAAAAAAGCCATGAAGTGCAAGTATGATTCAAGTGGTAGTACAGCAGCCTTGAGCAGAAAAGCCAATTAAGAACATGAGACCCTGAGTTCAAGCCACAGTACTAGGGCACACACACACACACACAGACACAGACACAGAGCCATAAACAAGACAGTTGCTGATGGTTACCATCTGTAATCCCAGCTACTTAGCAGGCTGAGATCTGAGGATCATGGTTCAAAGGCAGCCTGAGCAAGAAAGTCCATGAAACTCTTATCTCCAATAAAACACTTGAAGGCTGGAGTAGAGCTGTGGCTTAACTGGTAGAATGCTAGTCCTGAGCAAAAAGAAGCTCAGGGACAGAGCCCAGGCCCTGAGTTCAAGCCCCAGGACCAGCATAGCATACCCAGAAAAAGCCAAAAAAAAATTCTACCTACATAGTATTCCCTGGAGAAGAAGTGAGGTCTCCTGGATGTGAATATACTGCTACTAAGGTGATAGAAGAGCAACTCTCACCCCTTAGCCAGAGGGCTGGAGAAAGGTTGGGTAAAACAGTTGGGCTTACTGCCCGCCCCCCTCACAAAAGCATCTCCTGGCCCAAAATAGCAATTACACAGAGCCCAGAAGAAAAGCAGGAAATATGTCATGAGTAAAAAGCCTGGCATGAGAGGAAAAACAATAACATCCCAGGCATACACAAGAGAATTCAAGGGAAAAGCAATGGCTTATGTCTTCCTTGGTGACAATGAAATCTCCAACCACTTTTCATGACTCAGTTAGATTCTTGGTTGCCGAGTACCTTCATCTGGCCTACAGTGGATACTGGGGATCAAACCAAGAGCACTGGGCATGATAAGCACTGGCTCCACATCTGAGCCACACTTCATGGTCTTCTAACAATACTTTTATGAAACAAATGCCTTAGACCTTGAATCAGAGACCATCTTTCCCTCAAGGACTCAAGACAGATAGAGCCCAGCCATGAGAGACCTAAGGAGGCAAATGGCGCTTATAGGGAGCACTGGGTGCTTTAAGAGCAAAGTGGATACTGGACTGAAGCTCCATGGAGACCTGCACAAAATGGCCAGCATTGGAGCTGAGACTAGGATGGAGATGGAGAATGGGAAACTGAGAAAAATGAAACAGTTCAAAGGCTAAGTAAACAAAGGAGTTACAAAGTAATGAAAAGGGTTGGAGCAAGAGGGCTCTATGCATGCTTCTTTGGGGGAGTGTGGGAGTAAGAAAGGAAGCTAAAACTACCGATAGCCTGTGTTCTAGCCTCCATATGAGAAGCTCAGATTAGTGAGGAAGTCAGATTTGCATTAGAAAGGCTGGGACATGCAGGAGGCAGACCAAACTATAGGAGGAATGGACCACAGGGCCAGAAGCCCCAGTCTTAGGGAGGGATGGCAGTGGCCTTTGGCAGGCCTCTCTCTTAAAAAGGAAATTCTGTGAAGGCCAGAAATAAACTTCCCTCATTACGTCTTTAGTAGCTTCTTTCTCCCACCCTCTCCCACCTATTCTTGTCTGGCCCCTCATGCCGAGACCACTATACTCCCAGCCTCTGACTCTGTCTTGACACTGTGTAGGGTCTTTCCCATGGCCTTGACTCCTCTGCTTTGCAGTCATAGATTTCACCTTCTCTCTGCCTTCTACATTACTCCCTGGCGCTCCTGCAGTTTCTCTTAAGAGTGGGGTCCCTTCCCTAGCAATCCCAGCAAAGGAAGGAGTAAGGCACACAGAGCATGGAGTCTAACAAAACTCCTTTCCATCTGTAGCTCCTCCATTTCTAGTGAGCCTAAGTGGAATCTGTGTTTCCTAGTCAAACAGACATTAATTAGCAGTCAACTCTGGGAACAGAGCATCCATGGTCGCTGTGGAGGGAATGTGTGGAGAAAGGACAGAATACCATTCCTGGCACAGTTGGAAGTATGGATGAGCAGATGGAGATCCTGGGGTACCAAGTGATGAATGGCTTTTCTCAAGCTGGTACTTTCTAGATCATGTTTACAAGGCCACTCCTGGCAAATGGGAAGATCCACCCACCTTGACTGCCCTATGGCTTGCTGCGTCTCATCTAGAAGCTGCAGCAACTGGCAAAAGATGGAGTGGGACCTCTATGTTGTTGGAAGGCAATGGGTACTATGGGCAGCCTTGGGAAAGCAGGGCTCACTTCCCTGAAGGAAAGGATAATCTTGCTCACACCCTTCCCAGTCCCCCAGCACACGCTGGCAAGGAGGATACTCAGGGGCTGTGGGCCTGAAAGCAACATATTTGGTTTCAAAGTTGTCCTCTTGACCTCAGGCATGAAATGTGGCCTAAAACACCATGGGGCCTAGAGAACCCAAAAATGACCTGCTGAGCCACTGGCAACCCATTGCGAGTAGGCAGAGCATTCAAACAACCATACTGCTCCTGGGGCCAAGCCACTCTTTGAGGGTCCTCCATGGTGTATAAGGCCAACAAACAACCCCTTTTGTTTACTTATCAGGCCTTCTGAGATGGAGCTGGAAAGCAAGGCCAGGACTCTTGCATGTTTTCATAACAGTGAGTGAAGAGAACATTGCCATAGAATGTCCCACAGTGACCGTTTCTTTTCATTCAGGGATATTCGGCAACAGAAACACCTGAGACTAAAATGCTAAGTCCACAAATGAAGGACCATTTATTTCCAAAGGTGAATGCAGAGAGTACTTTCATACAATCAAAGATTTTTACAAAACACATTACAAAATACCCAAAGAAGAGAGCAAACTGGGTGGGAGGGGGGCATAGAGCACCCAAGAACAAGACTGACAAAGAATACCTAGGTCTAGGGGCATTAGAGACTGGTTCTGATGGGAGCCACTGTCTGGAGGGAGGAAGGTACAGAGGGTGGTTGGCCCAGGGTACAGCCATCCCAGCTTGGGGAAATAAGGACTGGGGGCAGGCAAGAGGGACAGAGGCATTGCCAGTGTCCCAGTAGGAATAATTATACATCAGCCTATCTAGTTCCTTTAGCTACAATTCTATCCATGGAAATGAAGAAACCTTTCACCACGAAAACAACACTGACACGCAAAGTAAGCAAGAGTTTCCAAAGTAAATCTCTGCTTGAAATGACTTTTGTGTTGTTGGGTTTTTATGTCATGGTGGGGGTGGGGTTGGGTTGTTTGGTACCAAACCACTTTAGAAAAGTGTCCCAGAAAAGAGCAATTGCAAGTGACTGGGTTGTCCTGAGCACGAATCGGCTTATTCTATCTATGTACAGAAGAGAAGGCTGAGTCCTTTCACCAATGTCCACCTCAATGAATGCAGGGCAGCAGGGAGGAGACCCCATACCAGTCTGGAGCATTGCCAAGGACCTGCAGGCTCATGAAAGACCAAAGGCAATACCACTACCTTGTCCTACCATACCTTCCCAGACCTTCCATGTAGGTAAAACCATGAAGGAGTTCCTCTTTTGAACAGTGTAGATAACAGTGGAGAGTCTTTGTGGCAGAACAGGACATTCTGCCTCCTAGGAGCCCAGCTAACCAAGCCCAGGAAACTGACCAAGCCAGTTCTGGCGCAGAGAGCCCTGCCACTACTGTGAAATCTATGGGGGGAGTGTGATCATGACTGTCACAGGACACTGAATCATTAATAATCACATTATTTCTAAACCCTGGTGAAGGCTACTTCAAAACAGATGGTATAACAGCTAGGCTAAGGTCTTGTAGGGCACAGGGCACCAATAGTTCAGGTGAGTGCTAGAAGTCCACCGAGACAGAGAAAGGGATGTTGTGGCTTCAGAACTTCTGTAGTGCCTCATAGGCTGGCAGAGGAACATGTCACCATGCCTCTGAGAGGATGCTAGGCAAGGTCTTGGGCATAAGAAACCAAATACTAGGGTGAGAAAGACTTTAAGTAAGCGTGACCATCTCTCTGCCATTCAGAATGAAGCCGTAAGTTGGCCAGCTCAGGAAATTGTGCTCATTGGCCCAGATCATTGACCACAGCTGCCCAGGGGCATATGAGAGCACTCCTTTCCATTCCTGTGGTTGTCTGAAAGGAAACTGGCTACCTCTATGAATACTCTCTCACACACAGAGCCATCACACACTGGCAGATGGCAGATAACAGATGGAAACAGGGCTGAGGTGGTTTGAGAACAGCCTTGGTACTGGCAGGAAAACCCTCAGGAATTGGGAAGCCAGGGCCCATTGGTCCCCTCAGTGCTCCTATACCAGAGCCAGTAGCAGACTGCTTGTTGGACAAATAGGGGGGCCATCCCTAAGGCAAGCTTCCATGTGTCTGGCCAGGTTATCTCTTTTCACACGGGCTTAGCCCAGGGTAAGAGTGAGTCTCAGAGCACTTTGGATGCTTGCTGCTTCCAATACCCCTAAATCCAGGCCGACTCACTCTGGAGCCTGGGGAAGGGGTACACTATCTGTTCCCTTCAGCTTCCTTGTTTGGGATCCAACCTGTCCTCCTGCATCTCCCCTTTCCCCTTCTCCTGACAATGTATCTGACTCTGGCCTGGCCATCTCAGGAAACATGGCTTTCCTTTTTTCTCTCTTGTTCACTAGAAAGTAGCTGCCCGGATGGGGGTACTGAGCTGTAGCCAGGGCAAAGGCAAGATTTTGGAGGCATGCCAGTAAGAGAAAGTCTCATGACTAGTCATCTGTGTTGTGCCACTGAGATGAGGAAGAAGAGAAGACCTATACCCCAACACCACCAGGGCATTCTGGAGCTGGTCCCCAGCTCAGACATAGATACTCCAACTGTAGAAGCTCCATATTTTTGCAGAGGTCAGTCCAGGACCCCCAGGGGGTCATCTTCCCAACCTCTCCTACAGAGGGCCAGGGTTTATTACAGTCTTACACACAATTCTTCCCCAATTGGACCTATAGGCTACAGCCTGATAGGAAGGTCAGTCAAATATAGCTACTCAAGAGGTACCTCCTCTGGCAGGCAGTCAGTCCTAGGGAGAGAGGCACTAAGAAAAGCTTGGCAGGGCCCTTAGAGAGGACAGAAAATCCAAGTGTCACAGCCCAATTTGCTCAAGGCAAGGCCAAGGTCACATGATGTTCTCTTTTCCTCTCTCCGTGCCCTTGGGTGAATTGCTTCAATGCCACTAGATCTTGGCTCCCACAGTTTCCTCCATGGGTTTCCACTTACTCAGAGATTTGTACAGCTACTGCCTCCGATAGGTCCATTTCTAAAATTGTGCCACTGATCACCAAAGTTCAATCTATATCTGACATTGGCACTGGTCCAGGGCAACTGGGTAGTCACTGAATGAACTTTTCTAGTCTTAAACAGATCTGTTCCTAGTAGAAGTCTGTCTCCCTTCTTGAGGTCCATGTATAATTGAGTGAAAAGTCCCCTCTTTCAGAGTACTTGATACTCCCTCCTCTACTTGTAGGAACTACATAGTCCCTTTGGAGTTCCCTTTCACTCTAGATGTGGGCCTTGGGGGAATATCAAGTAGGAGGTATGGGGTGACCACCCCTGTGTTGAATCTAGCTGCATTGAAGAAACATGGCCCTAGGGAAACAACAGGCAAGAGTTATAGCCTCCCAAACCAGAGTGTGGCCATACCCTGTAAGACCCTATAGAGCCTATGCAACCTTCCAGAATAGGGCCCTGATGAAAGAATTACTCCAACTCAGACATACAAAACCATACAAACACAAAAGAAAAGTAAGCCCAAGCCTCAATCCTAGCACACGCTTCCTTGAAGCTGCTTCTGAGACACAGACAGAAGAAAGACGGGTGGAGGGTCACATGCTTATTATCACCATGAACATGGAACATGATTTGAATCACAGTTTGCTCAAGTTATCACTTGCTTTGATTAATTTACTTTTGACACTCAATTTTCATTGGGATATGTTCAGTTCTCAGCTTTCGTGGGCAGTTGTTAGGGTCCTGCCTGGTGTGGCATATATGGTTTGTTTCGTTTTTGCTTTAGATTTGCCAGTGCAACAGATCTCTAACCCCCTCAATGGGATCTCAAACTTGGGGTGCATGACATTCTCACTCCCCACTCTAGGCAGTGTTTTGATGGAGCAAGGCTGAGGGGCTCCCTGCTTTTGAATCATGGGACAGTAGTGGGAAGAATCTGGCCAATTCTATTTTGGCCATGAGCTGGGAAATCCCTTCACTCTGGACTTGCTGCTGGTATATAAACAAGGCCTCAGTCCCCTTAGGACGGGGACTGTGCTGGAGACAAAAGGGGATCCCAGCAAGAGACTGGAGGTCCCTGGCAGTGGAGAAATGAAATGCCAACTAAACTTGTCACTTGGATGCTGGAAGAATTACTGCTTGTTGTTCCCTGTTTCCTCAACCAGCTGTTGTTAAAGCACCAACAAGCAGGGTGAGGGAGCCAAGACTACTACCTCCCTGTGTAAGGCCACTCAGAGCAGAGCAGGAAGACAGAGCCAAGGAGAGGGAAGGGGGGGGGATTCCTAGCCCCTAGCACCATGCCTAGGCACAAGGAGACATCCTAGAGGGATAGGAGCTGGGGAAGGAAGAATGATGGAAGAAAGGGACAGAGAGGAAGAAAAAAAGAAATACACCAAACATCCTACTGCCCTCTCCAACAATTTCATCAAGGACTGAGTATTCTCCAAGTCAAGTCAGGATTTGCTTCCTTAGAGAGGAAAAAAAATCACCAAAAAAAACAAACCAAAACAAAACCAAAACCAAGCACCTTCAGTCTATTTTCTTGGCTGGAAGCCGGAGCAAATCCAGCAGATATTTACACAAGGGCCCAGCCATGTATGAGAACAGGATGACCAGCTTCCCGTGGGTCATGGTCATGAGAGTCTGGTGTCCCGAGGCCCAGATGCGATACCAGGGGCCGTAGAATGGGTCTGAGATGGCCGGACACAGCATGTTGTTCAAATTCACTTCGGTGACCTGCAGGGACAAGGGAGGGAGAGTGAGCGTTCGCCATCCTTTGGCTTCTCTGGTTTCTGCCAGTTCAGCCATCTTTACCTAGTGGGGGACTAGACAAGGCGGGATTGACCAATCTCCACCTGTTCATAAAGAGATTTCTGTGCCCTAGGTTTGCTGAGTGGGCTGAGACTAAAGCCTTTTGGAGGTGTTGACTGGGTTGTCTGATGGAAAAGCCGTTAGGTTTGGCTCCGTCTTGCTTTCCGGTGGGGGAGAGGGGGTGGGCTCCAAGGCCTTCTCCATTCCTAAGAATCACTATGTACCTAGTCCCTGGAGAGACATTATGGGATAAAAGAGCAGTTAACAACACGGTCCCTGCCTCCACATCCTGTCAGTCCATCAAGTGAGGATGGTTATTTACTGTATCTGACCTCAAAGCAGATGGTGCCCACAAGCTTTTCATGCCATGGGGAGGTCTGAGGAGCAGATGTGACGGACAGAATGGGGCTGAATACTGAGAGGTTCCATGAGGGACGTAGCACCTAAATGGAATCATGAAATGAATGGAGTGGGGTGACTGGAGCCTTCCCTAAAGGAGGCATGGCTGGAGCATAGTATTTATGGTAACATGAGCCACTGATGCCTCTGGAATCCAGGTTATCAATGGGGTCCAGCAAGAGGTAAGGAGGGGTGTATGCAGGTTTGAGTCACATTGAGCCCTTCCATAAGCATGGCAAGCATCGATGCTATTGGCAAGGAACTCAGACCACTTCTGGCCAACCAGAGCAGAGCCGTTCACCAGGGTGAAGAGAAAGTGACCACTTTGGTTACATATTCCCATCATGCAAAGTCGCGCAAGGCTCCACATGGCTGATGCTATATTAATGCCACCTACATAGAACCAGACATGCCACTCTGCCCCTGAAGATGGCCAAGCCACCTGCTTTGCAGCACCCTTCAAGCCTTTACATGTTAAAGACAAGTCCTCACCACCTCTCAGGGAGTCAGGCTGCACTTGGAGACCATGTTATCATGAGGTAGAAAGCGCTTTGCCCTCAAAGGTGAGGTGACCCATCCAGAGCAGTGGTGGAGCCGATTTGAACTTGGGTCTCCTGACCCCATGCTCAGTCCTGATCTCTATGCCACTGGCATACATCTTCATAATATCGGCGATTTGGGGCTTTGGATAACTCAAACATTCTCCATGCTCCAGGCAGTTCAAAACCCCACAGAATGTCATGCTTGTTCCCCAACACCACGTTTTACTGGCCATACTGCTTAGGGCAGTGCCTGCTAAGGGATGTAGGAGAAGGCTCAAAATGGACCCAAGGTCAGAGGCTTCCCCATGAAGTATACAGCAAACCACTGCCTTATTGCAGCTCAGTATTTCCAACCCAAGTGGCTATGATTGAAAAGCATTCTTGCCTCTCCAAGGATGGAAGAACAGCCATTATTGAAGTATTCAAAAACTCTTTGGAGAGGCCAAAGCTGTGGATCATAAATCAGCATCCCAGACACAACAATCTGACATCCTGGCCTTTCACATCTTGTATTTTCAAAACAAAATGATACACTAGCGCCAACTGGGATTATCAAGATTTATGGAGAACTGCAAACAGAGGGGAGAGAAGGGGCTATAACCAAACTTACCAGGCCGAGGATCTGTAGGAAGCTGAAGTGGTAAAAGAACATGAGGCCAGTTGAAAGAAGAGCCCACCGGAAGCTGCTGAGGGGCTCTGGGGTATAAGCACCTGGAGGAAGAGCAGAGATGGTGAGATAGGAGGAAGTTACCCACTTCTTTGCCCACACAGAGGGCAAGGGTTGAAGTCATAGCTGCAATCTGCTCATGGCTCCTTTCAATCCATCAGTAACTGCTACTATGAGAACCTCATTGGGTACATGAGGCCACCTCTTCCTGTGTTCTGCTAGTCCATGCTAGGCCATTACAAAGAGAAGATTTTTGATTATAAAAGTAATACATGCTCAGTAAAGGTACTGTAGAATGTTACAAAGTAGGAAGAAGAAAGGAAAAGTAGAAAAAAATTCCCAATATTCTACTATTGGAATACAAGCCCTGCTAACACATGAGTGTGTCTGCATGCTAGTTATGCCTCAGGATTTTCCTTCCTTTTTTAAAATTGATACTTGAGATAACACTGCTTGTAAAATCATGTAGTTTGCATTAATACAGTTTTGATCCGGTGACATTGAGGATGTATATTATAGTAACTAGGAATGTGAACTTTATTATTTTGATGGTACTGTGGCTTGAAATCAGGGCCTGACCGCTGTCCGTGAACTTTTTCTTCGCTCAAGGCTGGTGATCTACCAGCTCCATTTTTGGCTTTTTCTTGGTTGGGCTGGCTTTGAACCATGATCCTCAGATCTCAGTTTCCTGAGTAGCTAGGATTACAGGCGTGAGCCAGCAGCACCTAGCTGGAATGCAAACTTTGAAATTAGACAGATTTGGGTTCGAATTGGCTCATTTGACTGTGGAAAAACTCCCCAAGTCCCATTTTCCCAAAAGCCTGGCTCAAGGAGCACGTTCAATGATTGTTAGATGTCTTGTGTCCATTATGCCTCAAGTAGAATATCATTTCCCAGCCACTGAGTATCTCCTTCCCAGGAACCACTGAGACAGCTGCATTCCCTCCATCACCGCTGGGAACCACCATTCTGGAGGCCTGGCTGTACTCCTGAGCTTACAGAGCAGGGATAAGGTTTAAAGTGTACTATCACTCTAAACATAGACTTGAGGTGGTTATCTGAGGAAGTTAGAGACCTGGAGCTAATTCATCCCAAGGAAGCAGGGGTGACATCATATCCTAGAGCAGTGTTTTCAATTCACCCGTGCATCCTATAGTTATTAAGTACCATAGTCTGAAGTAAGCCTTCTGCAATCTAGACTCACAACAATGATTACAATACAGTGGAGCTGGGTGTTGACTGACGTCTGTGACACATGTTACAGAAAGACAAAATTCAGCTTGAGGGGGGCACAGAGCAAGAGATGTATCTTGGTGGAAGTAATATTGCAACAGAATCATGAAGGACAAATGGGACTTCAAGAAGAGCCTTCCAATGCAGCCACCTGTATACAGGTAGAAATGAGTTGAGGCCATCCCAAAAAGAATAGGTAAGAATTCAGTGGGGCCACAGAAGAGAGCAGAAGGCACATGGGTGAGACACGGGGATTGCCAGGGCTGCTCTGCCCCTGGATGGGCCTTGTGGGACCATAGGAATCATGCTGAGGGCTTTGGACTTCATGACATACAGCAGGATTGTGAGCTCACCTCAAATCTAAGCAGATGATAAGAAGCAGGGACATGGCCAGAGTGTAAGAGACACGGATGAATATGAACACTGGCAAACCAGAAAACCCAGAACCCTTCTAAGAGGCAGCTACCACTCACCTCCACCAATCACTGCCCTGCAAAACTGCAGAACAAGAGGTGCTTAGTTTTATTGTTGTGTTGTTTTGATTTGTTTTTTTTTTCAAGAGAAACTAGAAATATGAACCTTTATATGGAATTTCCTTTTTTTAAATGTCAGCAACTAATTCCAAATATTTTAAGAATGTTCAGTAGACCAAACAAAATATATCTTAAGACTGGATGGATTTCAGCCCTTGGGTGGCCAGCTTTCAGCTGTACTGTAGAGCAAAGAAGACAGCAAGTGGCAGATGAGTGCTGGGCTCACACATGTGCTTGTATAAGATCACCCTACACAAATGTGCAGGGGATGACTGGAGCAAGAGAGAGTAGAGGTCCAGTGGCAAAAAGATAGATATAGGAACCTGGAGAGAACAAAATGGCTTCTGAAGACAAGAGTAGAGAAAATCACCAATATGGTACAAGGCTGGATGTTGAGAGTAAGGAAGAGGAATCACAGACATTCTCAAGGCCTTGGCTTGACCCTTACTGGGTTAGTGATACCCTTCCTTGCAATGGAGAAGAGGCAAAGGCAGATTGCAGCTAGAGGTAGGGAAATGGTGAAGTCCACTTTAAACACGTTGAATTGAGGTGTGTGTAGAAGAATGTCCATGTGAAAATGTGCCTATGGTGTCCCATAGGAAACAGGGTGCAATGAATAAGTGTAGGGACTGGAACCTGACCAACTTTAGGACCTTGAGAAATCTCAGCCTTTCTTGAAATCACCTTTACTCATCGACAAAATGGAACAGTACTACCTAATTCACAGGATTGTTGATCAGACGAGATACTAGGTTACAGTGACATGGGATTTAACAAATGCTGCTAATAGGTCATGGTGTATCTGGGATTTAATGGATTTTGATTATTTTTATAATGTGAGTCACAAACTCAATGAAGAGGATGAAGTGAACATCTAGATGTGGATGATGCAGCACACAGTGGTAAACAAAATCATGGGAACTTTTGTACTCTGATATTGGAAGAAGGCCAGGTATACAACACCAAAGTAACATCATATAAAGCGGGGGAGGTAGATGGGAAGAGAGGAAGGAGATGGGGTGACTAAAGCCAGGAGAGTCTTCTGTGCAGGAAGCTCAACTTGCTTTAGGAACAAGAGAGAGGCTCGTGGAACATGTGAGTCAGAAGGGCCTCTGAGGACATAGATCTTGTTTCTCCATTTTATAAATGGAGAAATTGAGGGTGGGGGACAGGCAATGTGACAGCCAATCATGACAACAGAGCTCTGGGGAAATGGGCTCTCAGATGTGCTCAAAGGCCCTGCTGCCACGTGTCTAGACCTCCAAGTTGAACTGTCTCTTTTCTTATCTGCCTACTCTCTAACCTTAGCGTGCTTTGAGACCCAGTTCCTTGTCACACTCTTGTCTTCCCTGCATCCAGCACAGGCTTGATTTGCAAAAATGCATTGAGGGGTTCACCAAGAATGTATGCACTTGCCTGTCTACTGAGTGAATATTGTCACCTTTGCTGCTAGGGACACACAGAAGAAGATGGGAGGGACCTGGAAAGCTGGCAGGTGCTCAGGTTACTACTGCAGGCACAACCCATTGCTAGATCCACCAGCTATTATTCCACAGGCTCCCTTCCTCCCCTAGGCTCCTGCTAAGCTTCCACTAGTGGCATCTGGGCAGCACTGCAGGCATCATGAGCCAGGAGCAGGCTTCAGAAGAGACTTGAGAGTAGATGCTGTGGGATAGTGGCCTCAGCCAAGAGGTAGCTCAGCAGACCTTCCTGGAGAAGGCTTCAAGTGTGGGACAGCCTTTCTCTCACCATGCACCATCTCTGCATCACTGTGGCCCCTGACCCTGCCATGCATCATGCTATGAGGGAAGAACACTCAGAAACTAACAGAGGACATGTTGCTCAGCACTCTCAGTACACCTTGCCCAAAGCCCCACATTCACCCCATTCCTTCCATGTTGCATCATCTGCCCAATATCACGCTGAGAGCTCAGAGGAGGAGGGGCGGTTCTGAAACTCCACTTCACCTCAGCAACGAGTACATGGTAAACATGCAAAAACAATTCTTGTATTGGCAAATAAATGGTACAGGCTTGTATAACTCCATTTGGCTCAATACTACAACTTTGAAGACTGTGATCCTATACCTTAAAAAATAATATACTGTCCATATTTGCACAAAGAATTTTATGTCTATATTGTTTATAGCACTGGAAATCTGGAAACAAAATGAAGAGGTAAGTAAACTATGATGCCTCAAGATTGTGCAACAGCCTACTACCATTCAAACAATGACCAAATTATGTAGGTGTGCAGAAATCAGTCCTGGTTAGCAACAGCTAATGTAAGGCAATACATGGAGCAATACAAACATAAAAACAAATAAAAAGCCATGACTAGTGGCTCATAACTGTAACCTTAACTACTCAGTAGGCTGACATCTGGAGGATCTAGGTTCAAAGCCAACCCAAACAGAAAAGTTTGCTACACTCCATTTCTAATTATCTAGCAAAAAGCTGGTTTGAAGGCATAGCTTAAGTGGTACAGCACCAGCTGAGCAAGAATACAAGACTTTTGAGTTCAAGTCCCAAAACTGACTAAAAAGGAAAAAAAAAAAAAACTACAACTCAGTAGCTTACAATCAAAAGCCTTGAGGGGGGCTGGGAAGGTGGCTCAGTGGTAGAGCCCTTGCCTTGCATGCCTGAGGCCCTGGGTTCGATTCCTCAGCACCACATAAGCAAAAAGAAAAAAACTGGAAGTGGCGCTGTGGCTCAAGTGGTAGAGCGCTAGCCTTGAGCTGGAGCGCTAGCCTTGAGCTGAAGAGCTGAGGGACAGCGCCCAGGCCCAGAGTTCAGGCCTCACGACCGGACCCCCCCCCCCAAAAAAAGTCTCACAAAAAAAGCCTTGAGGGTCAGACAACATTGGGTTTGGGTTCTGCCTTTGCCACTACCTACAGGAAGGTACCTGAGCAATTCTTACTCCTTTTCTAAGTACATTGTCCTGTGTGTGACCTCAAAGTAGATCCATGTTTCAGGGATAAAGAATGGAATATAAGAAATGTCAAAAAGTAGAAGTGGCAGTTGAATGTGGTGGCTTAGGCCTGTAATCCCAAGTACTCAAGTGTTGAAGATTGGGAGGACTGCAATTCCAAGGTCAGTCTAGACAAAGAATTAGCAAGATCCCATCTCAGTCAACAAGCCTAGCTTTTTGGTGGTGGTTCATATCTATAATTATAGCTATGTCAGAAGTACTACAGGAGGGTCACACTCTGAGGTTAGGCTCCAGGAAGAAATGAAAGACCCTATTTCGAGGGGAAAAAAAAACAAAGCAAAAAGGCT